ATTACAAAAAACTACAACTTTTAAATAGTTAATTTGATACTAATATATATATATATATATATAAACTTTTATGATATTTTCAAATTTATATCTTATTCAAAAATACATTATCGTTTTTTCAAAACTATATAAAACCGTATTATATTGATATAGATAAAGAATAAAAAAAATATTAAAATTGAGATGTGTCTCGATACATTACACAAATACCCTTTTGATTACTATTAATTAATAAAATTTGTTACCATATTGTTTCGATAAACGGCAATCGTAGAGTTATGTGAAAAATATATAATAAAATATGTTTTATTTCTATTTTTGTTGTTTAAAAATGATGTCATAATTACAAAAGATTTGGTGATTACTATTTTACATACTTATTGTTGAACTTTTTTTGTACATTCAACATATAATATTCTAAGAGAGAAAATAAATAATTACATTATGAAGATATTTATCAATTTATAAAAATAGGGTTGGGTTCACGTGACACCAAAGGTTTTTCTTGAGAACCGCAAGACCAATTTTATAAACTAATTATCTAATAGTCTAAAGTTGCATGGTGACAATTTTATGATTATTGAGAAGTCTCGTGGCGTTTATGAATGTACAGATTGTCATATTGTAAATCTAATCCAATGGTTGGTAATTGGTCTTACGGGTCTCACGAAAAATCATTCGTCTCACATGACCCCAAGTCTATAAAAGTAACCCGTCTTATTTTATTTTATTTTTAGAGTTCAGTACCACCTACAATCAATAAAAGTTTTAAACTTCGATGTCTTTAAAAAAAAAGAAATTAGTTCAAATAACCATTTTCCTCATTCAAATTAACCTAATAATTATTTTCCGGGTTGGCCCAAATGTCATTATATCTACAATACTCAGGTCCGTAATAGATATAAGATAATAAAAATATCAAATTCAACCAGTTTGCTATCACAATTGCGAACCTGACCGTCACAATTGCATATTTGTGTTGATTTTTTGGGCTTTATTATATTGCAGACTTGAATATTGCGAAAATAATGACATTTGAGGCAATCTGGGAGAGAAATAATTAGAAGGTCAATTTAAATGAAGAAAATGATCATTTAACTTAATGACTCTTTTCTAAGGGAAGAATAAAAAGAACCCGCAATTCTAATAAAATATTACGTTGGTGTCGGATTGACTTACTACTTAACATGGTCTCAAAGTCGGTGCAAATTTATCTGTTAACTTTAACAGATTAAAAAGTTAGTCCAGATACAAACAAACTAATCAAAACCAGTATATTTATATAAAAAAAGCCTTAATTTCTACAACAAAGTAATTGCTTTCGGCATGGACTGCCGTTTCAAACCCGTCAAAGATAACTATTGCTTGCTTTCAACGGCAGTCAACTTCTTTTTTTGGAGGGAGAAAACGTTTTGTCCTCATTGCCATCTTTATCGCTTTCCAAAGTTTCCACACAACATTGTTTCTTTTGTGTAAATTACAGATTTCATCCCTGCATTTTATGAGTTTTTTTGTTTCCGTCCCTAAAATTCATTTATTACAAAAAAAAACCCCGTTTTTGTTTCTATTGTTAACGACCGTTATAGTTCGGTTGTTAAAAACAAATTTATCATTTTACTTCTTATATGAAATACTATAAACTTTAAGTACTCTAATGCGTATAAAAAAATAAGAATAAGGTCTCAAGTTGATAACCGATATGAGTTTGTGACTATGAAATTAATCGTTCCCAATTTTTTTGTATTAGCCTTAAAAGTTTAAAAGCTCGGGTGAAAAACTAAACATGCGGGTGAGATAGAAAACCAAATTATTTGTATCGTTTCACGTAACGTGTTACTTCAAACAATAAACATTGTGAGTTTGTGACCCGAACGATACCACTTTACATATGGAAGGTATATGTATCATAGGATGTTATACTGGTGGAATGAATTGACAAGGTTATGTATAAAAGATATGCTAGCTAATACTGATTTAAAATATATTTTTGATTGGTCGATTTTGTGTCAATAAATACTTCAAAGTTTGTTTTATATGAATCATTAACATTTATTGCAATCATTTTTGTTTCTGATAATACAAAATGCTTACCCGAATAAGCGTTTACCAAGTCACATTATCTTAGGGATGCATATAACAAGGACTAAGAATCTTACCTTATAAGAGCGAAGATAAAGACCAAGAGTTTTAGCCGGTAAGTGAGGGCGACTACTCTTACCATAATTAACGCTTACCGGGTAAATTGTTGCATACGATGCTGTTTTGGTGGATTAAAATCTTATTTGGTAAGCAAGTGATAGTGTTGGATTTTGCCGATAATCACTTACCTGGGTAAGTGTTTGGTAAACAGCCCCTTAGAGTTATAAACATAAAGAAAAATCAAAAGCCATGAACATTGAGAACATCTGTAATCCTAGGAAAACTAATTATGTAAATTTAAATCAACACAATATGAAGACATATACCAAATTTGTGAAAATTCATTACCCATGTATTATAAATCAAAACTAGAAAAAAAAAACGCTGACGACATTAATGATCTATAAAGAGCTTAATATGACCGATGGTGAATTAAAAGATAATCAGTTTACATCTAATGGTTAGGGATTAACACATGTGAACATGTCTATGCTAGTAAAGTAGGACGATATACACAGTACAATAAAGTTGAAGAGACTAGACATCCAAATCAAGATTCTCTTGGTATGTAGTGATAAGTGATCTTCAAAAGATCAAGAAACACGAATTCTAATTACTCAGCTACAAAAACAGTAAAAGAAATATAACACATCAACTTCGATCCAATATCACGAACCATGAGTTTCGACAAGTCGTAAATCAACCAACGTTCATTGTATTTCGGAAAAACGACAACACAAACAAGCTGATATCGATGAGCATCGGGTATAAAAGATAAGATTTGATTGGGAGGAAAGTGGAATAATGTCACAAAGCATATGTAGTGGGGTTGGCCTTTGAAGGGTCATATGGGCTTCACATGTGGTGTAGAACGATATTTGCTCCTACCCACTAAAGTTCAATCAATTTTGACTATTCTTTATTGAAAGTCAACTAGAATATTATGATCTCATGTTTTGTCGGCTATATAGACCAAGTTGTCACGTGAAAATAAAAGTATATGTCAAATGGGAAAAAATGGAAGTTGGAGGGTTGTTTGTGAAATTATTTTTTGAACAATTTGGTGTGAAATGGAAATTTTCACTTATGGCCCTCGTGGAATGCGTAACTCCTCTTATATACCTCATTTAGTGGCAATCTTGCTGTCAATCCCAAGATTGTGTGATAGAAAGTCTAAGCACCAAGGGACCACAAAAAGTGCCCTATTTTCTCTTTTGGTTATTGGACTACGATTTTAAAGTTGACTTCCGTTTGTGTGAAATTATATCTGATAAGATTAGTTAAAGTTGTAATGTTGTTTATTTAGATCTATTAGAAATTATAAGATTTTTGTGTTACACGTTGAATTATCAGGGTTGTATTTGATGATCGATTCAACTCTTCTAACACATGTATATGTTATCACTACAAAACAAAAAAGCTTCATTGACGGAAAAACCCATCACCGATGGATTTCTGATGCCGGAGAAAATGTGTCTGGTGGTCGTGATTGCTGGCGGATTACAGGTACCTATTCAATCACCGACGAAAAAAATCCACTGGTGATGGTTAATCCGTTGTTGAAGCCTATATGTTTTGTAGTGTATCGTAACAGCTTGTTCGATGTATATCCATTTGATTTTGTACATGCCTTTGGTTTGCGTCGATAAACTTTAGACAAACAATTTGCATCTGGTTTTTTCCAAAATGTATATTTACTTGAAATTTAGTTTGTCATTGTATTTGACTATTTATCGAGTGTTTGGAACATCGTTCAGTGAAGACAAAAGAAAGAGCCATGCGGTTGGAATCAATAGCTACAATTTTTTTTTGATTAACCTAGATATCCAACCCGTTATGTGAACCGACTAATCTCAAGATGATCACCTGCTTAATTTGCGGATAGTTCGAAGTCCTCGCATTTGAACCTTAAAAATTTGTAACAACAATAACTAAAAAAAGATAATCTTAGCAATTAATTTGTTTTAAGAATAGAATATTATGGAACTGATGCTGAAAGCATGGTTCCAAAAGAAATGGATTCTCATTAAGTTGGTTGATACAATGAAACTACAAGTTTGAGACCATCAAATCGTTTAAAACAGTATGAAAATCAACCGTTAAAACAATAGATTAAATATAAGATACGAATGTTTAATACGTAGACCATCTGCAAAAGAAGGCATCTAAAAAGAATGGTCTTTTCGAAGCCAGAATGGCCAAAGACAGATAACGGTGTATAGTTGCCGCGTTCCTATTTATTTAACCCATTTGCTTCTTTTTTTAATCATCAATACTTGTATTTTATAATAAATCAAATTCATATTGTATAAGAAGGAAAAAAGTTGATTATATATTTGCTTAAGTAACACACAAACACACATGTTTATATACATGGAAAAATGTATAAGATCTATAAACTAACGACAAGCATATATGTTATATAACGTATTAACTTTGCAATAACTTTGATCACCTTACGTTATAGAACGTTTGCAAAAAGGAAAATCGCAAACTCAATCAAGTATAATATTGATGTAGTTATCAGTGTGTGTCTATATATATATATATATATATATATATAGAGAGAGAGAGAGAGAGAGAGAGAGAATTTGGTGTTAGATTTTTAAAGATTTAAAGTTGAGTTATCTATAACAACAACATGTAGACAACACATGATAAAATTATAGTTTTGAGACAATATTGATAATAAGATTGTAGTTTTGATGTAGATATATATATATATATATATATGTCGTATTTTTTTGAACAAGGTGTAAGTTTTTAACACGTTGTAAGCAATAGATACAGGTGGGGTCTACAAGTACTTAAAATGCGGCCCACGATTTAAATATATAGAGTTTTAGGTCAAAGTATTATCAATCTATAAATAATAGTAAACGTAGCAAAGAACAACATCAAAATACAACACAAAAACATGATGAAATTTCTCTCAACTTTCTTGATCCTCTTCTCCCTTCTCTTGGTAAGGACTCATCCTAATTCCATCTTCATAGCAATTTCTCACAATTTTATATGTAAATCTTATATATATATATATATATATATATATATATATATATATATATATATATATATATATATATATATATGAACAGGATAAATCTTTTATCGTGTACAATTGACATACCCCTGATGTTTAACTCGTCAATATCTAAAACTAGTATTCAAATTCAAAATCTTTAGGTTACGTTTGACGACCAAACCCGTCTAGGGTTTTCTTCCAAAAGTTTATTTTTCATATGAAACTTCTTCTTTTATTCTATAGGAATCACGGAATGTTCCAACTGAATAAATCCTAATTTCGTGTTGTTACATCACGTGTTTTGATGATTAGATTGTGAGCAGTAATGAAGCAAGAAGCATTCCCGATGAATATTGGAGAAGCATAATGAATGATGAACCCATGCCAAAGGCGATTCAAGATGTTTTGCCCCTTGAAGATGTTAACAAAGTAAATAAGGATCAGTTCGTACGGAATTTCGATTTAAAACCGAATCTCATAATCTATCACTCTCATGTGATGTATAGCCAAAAAAATCATCACATAGTTTCATCATCTTCATCAACGTCGTCTTCTTCTTCTTTTTCTAACGAGTTGAATTAATGAGTAGAAACATTAATGTATCGGTGAGAGAAAAGTCAAATCTTGGTTGTCAAGTATGTATGGATTGTAGCTTTATTGGTATTAGATGTGATGGGGTTATTATTGTTCATAAATAGTGAAAGTTTAGTACTTTTTGGAAGCATTTTATTGTCAATATATTCTCTCCAATTTATATGATTCTAAACAAGTACTCAAATTTGATTTGAGTTATAAACTTATAATACAATTAAAATTAGACATATTGTATAATTATATTTTGTATATCCACCTTGAAAAAACTAATATTTTTAATAACATTAATTTATTAAAAAATACATCTGTCGTTTACCCGTGTTTATCTTTTTTTTCAAAGAGGTTTAACAATCGTCTGTCTTCCTAAAAAATCAGAATCATTTTATAAAAATCTGTAATTAAGATTTCAACCGAATAAACATAACTTATATCTTTTCTTTTTCCAGTTTTCTGATTTTAACTTTTTTTGAAAATAAAGGAATTTTATTAACAAATCATATGAACATATAAACGTAAAACAAAATCCATTAAATGTTATCCAACAGAAGCGATATGATGTATATGCAAGTATGGAAATAATAGAAAAGGTTTATTTAGAAAGGAGGGATTCATTTATAATCATCGACTTAATCAATTAAGCATAGATTATTAAAACGTAATTAAAAAAAAAGAAAAGACAAGTTGGGTGTTGAATTATGGGCTATTTGATTGAAGCATTTAACATCGACATGTTGTCATATATATATATACTAGTTTATTTTCAAAATACATATTCTTGGCATTATGATTCAACTTTGACTTTCATAGATTGGCTTAAACTATTGATTTTATAAAACGATAAAAATGTTGTTTTTATATCAAAAAAACGTATAAAATAAGTACAATAACTTTAAAGGGGATACGGGTATTTGACATGTAGCATTTCTGATATCAAAATTTTGCGAACACGATACACAAATTATTAACATAGAACACATAATTTATATATAACAAATTTTGGTTCACTTTACAAGATTTATAAAAGAAATTAGTTGCATTAAAATAAAATATGTTTTATTTTATTTTTTATTTTTCGAAATTAAAATATTTTATCTTGTGCTTGCAACAAGATGTATCATATAAAAACGTGTAGCAAAAAAGTTGAGTCTTTATGTTTATAAAGTTATAACATATTTTTTTCCCTAAATTTAAATTATATTTTCCTAATTGCATTAAATGCATAATATGATCATTTAAAATTGAGTTTTTGAAAATATGTTTTTAAAGAAATATATATATATATATATATTATATATATATATATATAATATATATATATATATGTGTGTGTGTGTGTATATATATATATGTGTGTGTAGAGGAGCGATCAAATGAAAACCACTCCAATTTATAAAAATTGTAAAAACTACTCTTATCCGTCGATTTCATTGTTTAATCTTATGAATTTTTTTTATTAAATTGTTTAATTTTGTGAAATTGTTTCATATAATAATTTTTTTTTTGATAAAGTTATTTCATATATGGTTATGAAATTGTTTCATATACTACTTAATGAAGTTTTAATTAAATTATTTCATGTATTTCTCCAAAATTAAAATAATGAAGATGATAATATCCATGATTAACATTCT